CCCAATACTAAATGCTACTTTTCTGAAATCTTTACCTGCAAATACTTGTGTATACTGCATTGATTTACATGATCCTTCAGTGCATAATAACCCCAAGAGGAAGAGTCTACCAGGGTCTACGTTTTGCCTGATGTATATGGAATGACATCCTCTAAAGCTTGAAAATGAACTACAGATGTAAACAAAGTGTGAACAAATCTTTTAGAAAATGTGGCTTCAACCGTGGAAACACAGACAACCCTTTGCATCTCCCTCCTTCATGTTCCTTTTTCCAGATGTTCTCCAGAGTCACAAAATCTGCCCCCCCAAAAAGGCTGAGCCTATTGCAGATCCATAAAAAGGCCATACAACTGACTTCACTTTCCTAGCATTGAATTTCTGAAACTTTTGATATTGTTTGTTTTCCATGGACTCAAAGAGAAGTTCCCTTCCTAATTACTCTTAATTGTTTCTTTGGATATGCTGGTGCAATCTGGAAATGTTTTTATTGATTCATAACTGAGGAAGAATTACTACATAATCTCGTATGTAGAAGACACTATGGAAATAGAGCTGAGATAAGTGCCACTCATGTGATGAAAAAGGAGAACAGGAAATAATACTCCTATAAATTAGGGCCCGTAGTCTCATGCAACATATGACAGACTTTCCTTTTAGCTCAACACATACTACTGTGGCATCACAGAACACACAGGTAGGATCTGTTTCTTTTACACCAAGACATGGCATAATTAGAAACTTGAGACATAAATGAGTAGGAGGAAGCACTTTGTTGTTGAGATTGGAAGTGAACACTACGAAGCTTTTTTCACAGGCAGTGAAAGGTGTCGCCCACTGGATGTACAGTGCACTCTTTTTCCTGTAACATGGGCAATACTAGTTCCTTCCACAAATTCCAGAGCTGAATACGTTTCCTGTTTCCCTAGTCTTCTCGAATATTTGTTGTCAGATGTTTTCATGATAGCCATTCTTACCGGAACTGGATGGTATCCTCAAAGTAGTTTTAATTTATTTTTCCTGTTGACTAAGGAAATTGAACAACTATGTTTTTAGAGACAGGTTCTCACTGTGTATCCTTGACTGGATTGGAGTTGACCATTTATGTAGAGGAGGCTGACCTTGAACTCACAGAGATCCATCTGAATCCAAGTTCTGGGATTAAAGATGTGTCAGCCCTCAGTGAGTAAACTGTGTAGCCCAGGCTAGATTTGAACTACTGACCTCCTACTACATCCCTGCCACTTCAGTATATTCTACCATCATGCAACATCACAACTGACAGGACACGTTTTTAAAAAGTTGCTGGTCATTCATGTTTCTTCTTTTGAAAAACACTTCCTCATTTTGTTAGTCCATTTGTTAGTTGGCAGTTCTGATTTCTTCTTGTTTTTTTTTTTCAGTTCCTTGTGAATTTCAGATATTATCCCCATGTCTGGAGTTTAGCCGGTAAAAGTTCTCTCTCATTCTGTTGACTGTTTGTGTACTCTGTTGTTAGTTTCTTTTGAGGTGCAGAAACTTTTTAACTTCGTGTAGTTCAGTCTGATGATACTTGTGTCTAATTCCTCTTCTATTGAAGTGTTTCTCAGAAAGATGCTGCTTACCCCAATGTCTTGAAGAGTATTCCCTATGCTTTCATCCTGCAGTTGTAGATTTCTAACTGAGGTCTTTTATCCTTTCCAAAATGATTTCTTTTTTGTTTTTTTTTTGAGACAGGTTTTCTCTGTATTGCTTTGGAGGCTGTCCTGGAACTCACTCTGTAGACCAGACTGGCCTCTAACTCACAAAGATCCACCTGCCTCTGCCTTCCAAGTGCTTGGATTTAAGGCATACGCAGGCTCAAATTGATTTTTGTACAAGGTAAAAAAAAGAATTAAATTTCCTTGATGTGTATGTGAATATCCAGTCTTTCCAGAACAATTTGTTGATTGACTCCATTTTACTTATTGCAATCTATGAAATCTTTGTAAAAGCAAAAAGTCATGTGACTATAACTTTATTGGTTTAGTCCTGGGTCTTATATTCTTTTCCATTTGTCTATCTGATTTTATGCCAGTATCAGGCTGTCCTTGCCAGTTAATTATACAGTATTATTTGAGGTCAGCTATCATGATACCTCTAGATATGTTATTTCTCCTTGGGATTGCTTTAGCTATTTATGGTCCATTACAGTTCCATATGAATTACTGCATTCTGTTTTTTGTGAAAGATATGATATGGGGATTTTGTCGAGTTTTTGATTGAATCTGTAGGCTGATTTTGGAAGTATGGCCATTTTCACAATATGAATTCTGTCAAACATGAGCAGGAAGTTCTTTCAATTGTTTGGTATCTTCTATGTTTCCCTCTTTTAATATATTAACAGAAATATCATGAAAGTGGAAACCATATTAGATAAAGAAAAGACTTTTGACAAAGTCCACCATCCTTCATGATAAAAGTCCCTCACAGATTATGGTACAGGAAACCATCTGCATACATTAAAGACAATTTATAGCAAGCTTATCATTTTAAAGAGAGAAAACTCAAAATGAATCTCACTGAAATAAAAAACACAGCAAGGTTTTCCACTCTTTCCATTCCTATTGAATATAGTACCTGAAGACTTGCCTATAACAATAAGACAGTGAAGGAGGTCAACAGGATACAAATTTTTTTTTATCTTTTCTTTTTTTTTCCAGTTTAAATTTAGATAAGAAACGAGGTTGCTTCACAAGTCAGTTCCAGGTCCCTCTCCCATTCCCTCCCCTCCTCCCGTACCCTCCCCCAACCCCCCCCGTTATCCCCTCATTCCCTCAGGGAGGGTGAGGCCCTCCATGGGGGTGTCCATAGTCTGTCATTTCATATAGGGCAGGGCCTAGACCCTTCCCCAAGAGTCAGGATACAAATTTGAATGGAATAAAATAAAATATACTTACCTTCAGATGATAATTATTTTATACATAAAAGACTCAATTGGTTCCTCCAGGTAACTTCTACTGGTGATTAACATTTTAAGCAATGTAATAGGATACAAAATAATACAAAATTTCAGTAACCTTCCTAGAAAGAAATCAGGGAAAGAACATCTTTCAAAATAGATTATAAAACAAAACATGTGGGCTGGAGAGATGGCTCAGAGGTTAAGAGCACTGGCTGCTCTTCCAGAAGTCCTGAGTTCAATTCCCAGCAACCACATGGTGGCTCACAACCATCTATAATGAGATCTGGTGGCCTCTTCTGGCCTGCAGGCATACATGAAGTGGTGTATACATAATAAATAAAATCTTTAAAAAAAACATGTTAAAATAATTAACCAAGTAAGTGATAGATTTCTATAATTAATATTCTAAGGTAACAAAAGAAAGAAATTGAAGAAGAAAATAGGAGCCCATGCTCTGCTATGTTCATGAGTCAGGAGGGTTAATATCACCATACTAGCATTCAGTAAAAATGGCAGTTTATATATTCAATTCAGTCTTCATTATGATGTCAACACAATTATTCATAGAAATTAAAAGAGTTTGAAGCCTCACGTGGAAATACAGAAGACCCAGAATAATAAAAAATCCTGAACAATAGAAAAACAAGCTGGACATTTCACAATGCCATATCTCAAATTGTAATACAGAGTTACACTAATAAAGATAGCATGACATTGGCATAAAAATGGACATGTTGATCAGTGGAATATAAGTGAACTCCTGGAGATAACTCCACACATCTAAGGGCATTAATTTTTTTTCACAAAGAAGCAAAAAATACATAGTAGAAAAAAAGACAGCATCTTCAGCAAATGGTGCTGATCAAACTGGATGGCTGAACAGAAGAACGCAAGTAGGTCCACATCTATCACTCTGCACAATACTTAATCCAAATGGATCAAATACCTCACCATAAGACAAGACACCCTGAACTTAATAATTTTTAAAGAATATAATTGAGCTTATTGTTACATTAAAGGTCTTTCTGAGCAGGACTTTGTTAACATAGGCATTGAAACCCACAATTAGTGAATGGGACCTCTGAAGATAAAAAGTGTTTGTACAGAAAAAGACACCATCATTTGAAAAAAGTGACAACTCTTGTCTCTGCCATCCTTGTGTTGGGATTTACCAAGTGTTCTAGCATGCCCAGATGTTACATTAATGATGTGGATCTTTTTTAATTTTTTATTTAAATTACAATCTTATTTTATAGACCTCTTCCTCCCTTCTTCCCTCTCTCCACACCATCTCCCCATCCCATGCCACATCCACCCCTCAGAGAGGGTGGGGTCTTCCATGTCATATCATCAAACTCAGTAACATTATTTGGGGCAGGACCAATGCCCACCCCATGTGTCCAGGCTGAGAGATTATCCCTCCAAAAATCAGTTCATGCATTAGGGATAAATACTGGTTCCACTGCCAGGGGTCCCATATACTGTAAGAGAGAGGTAGAGTTGGGGAGAGATAGTTGGCCCCCCAGAAGACAAAAGGTACCAGTTCTTCTGAGTAAATTGGGAGCATGGGAGTCGAGAGGGAAGAGAGATATGCTGGGGTTCTTAACTCACCTCCTCATGCTTGTGCTTAAAATACTTTATTGACCAAGATTTCTACCCAATCCTTACAAAACACTTTTTACAGGTACACCACTAAACAAATATTCTAATGACTTTTTCCTATATGCATGAAAGATTTGTGTCTTTATTCTTTAGAAAATTAACTTTTTTGATGATTATGAAGAGGCTACATTAATATTTTCCACATATAAGAAGTATTTGATTAATGGGCAGCCATTTTAAAATGAGACTTTTTAACTGTATTGATCTTGAAAGTTAACACAGTGACCATAGAAAATTCTACTGATGTCACAATAAAACTCAGTGTAACAAATATCTTGTAAACACTTATCAGAGGGAAAAGTAGATGAAGAAAATGATGAGATACTGATTTAAGGTACTAAGAAATTACTGCATGTGTTCATTTCTCTCCTTGCTTCTGTTGATATGAATACATTTGTCTTTTTTAGATGCCAAGAAGATGGTTCCTGAAAGTTTTTCAATGGGGATGTTTTGCTTGTCCCAGACAGTTGTGGGAATTCTGGGTAACTGGTCAATTTTGTTCCATCATTTTGTATCTTTATTCACTGGAAAGTATCTGATGCCCAAAGATGAGATTTTAAAACATCTGACTCTAGCCAACTCACTGTCGATTATCTCAAGAGGAATTCCTCAGACAATGGCATTGTTTGGTTTAAAATCCTTCCTGGATGACATTGCATGTAAAGTTATTGTCTACACTAATCGAGTATCCCGAGAGATTTCTTTACATGCCATGTGCCTCTTGAGTTGTTTCCAAGTGATCACAATCAGCCCCAGCAACTCCAAGTGGATGAAGCTTAAACATAGAGCCACCAAGTATGTCGGTCCCTCATGTTCACTCAGCTGGCCTGTATACCTGCTTCTAAACAGCAAAATTGCTATTAGTGTGATTGGCGTTAATACCAACATAAATTTCACAAGGAAATTCAATACGGGCTACTGTTCCTCATTTGATTCTGGTGGCAACCCAATATTTTTATTTTTGATCTGTTTTATTGATGTTCTCTATCTGAGTGTCATGGCCTGGGCCAGTGTCTCCATGGTGAGCATCCTCAACAGGCACAGGAAGCAGGTACAGTACCTCCACAGTGACACCCATTGCCTCAGAGTCTCACCTGAAGCCAGAGCCACCCAATCCATCCTGATCCTAGTGTGCACCTATGTCACCTTCTACTCAATGTCATTCATTCTGATTATTTATTCAGTGTTCTTTGATAAACCAAAGCTGTGGTTGGTCAATATTCTTACATTTCTTGAATCATGCTTCCCCACCTTTTGTCCCTTCTTACTCATCACCAACAACACGTCTTTTTATAAGATCTGCTTTCCCCGCTGAAAGGTTTACAAGTTCTGGTCACCATTGTTCTATATATGCATAGATCCTTTTACTCATTTGGGAAATGGAGACTCACTAATGACTAGATGATTTAGGCAATTCAGCTGCACTGTTAAGTTAGACATCAGCATTCATCCTAGCCTTCATAATATTGCCTAGAGATTTATACATGTTAAGACATCTTTTTTTATTTGCATTGTAAGAGCTCTGAAATTTGGGAGTAAAAATGAATTGGAGAACATCTTATCCTTACAGATGGCCAAGCAGCTATTGTGGGTTGAATTTCTCTGCAGAATCAGGCAGGACTCCAGTCCTAATAATGTAATATCAGTGAGAGAAATGAAGGAAGGCAAATTTTTGATACAAGAGGAATTTCATGTGTTTTGAAAATATGATGTTTGTGTGACTGACTCGAGTCTACATGTACTCTGCGACAGTGAACTTCTCCTCTGGAATGTGATGAGCTAGGTTAGTGGCTGCATGGTGACTTTATACCTACAAAGGCAAGTGAGGCATTTTGTATCTCTCAGATCCCTCTAAGCCATCTTGATCTGCTTTGCTTGTCCATCCCCTTCTGTTAGGTATCTTCCACCCTTGCACACTGTAGGGAAGGTTTGATTATCCAAGGTTTTGGGTGATACAAGTCTTTCCATTTATAGAAATAGATTTATTGTATCTTGTCCCTTTGGATTTATTTTGCCATGGGAATTATTTCTGTCTGAGTGTTCCACAGGTTCTGGTGGCTTCTGTTCTCTGATGAATTTGTTTCTTCTCTCTTGTTGCAAGTATAATCCTCACAGCGGATTAGACACTGTTATGTCATAGAGAGACATCATCATTCCCACTGTCATACAGGCTTCAACCTACTTGAGTAAGGCTGCTGCCATACCTCAAAGGGTACTTGATAGTTATATGTGGCTGTGGCACAGTTAGAACATGCAGTGTCCTTCATATGACATGATTATCACTTGAATACTGTATTGGGTGACAGAAATGAAAACAAGAGACATTCTAGCAAATGTCTAGAAATGTAATCAGTCAAAATTTTAAAGAACCAGTGTGAATGAGTTGTGTATCACATAAAGTGGTCTTAGTCATTTAATAAAAGTGTTCTTCTTAAAGAATTGCCTGTACAAAAATGTGGATTTTATGTGTTATACAAACTTTAACAATCAACATATACACATTCATGTGACTTGAGACATTAAGGTACTGTGACACTGGCAAACAAACATTCTTGAATCAGCTAAAGTAAGACATAGATCCATAGAAACACTCAAACTCTGTTTAAGAGAACATAGTTTGTTGCAATTGTTATAGAAAACGTTTGTCATGGCCTTGTGAAAATTATAACCCATTATTAAACATTTCAAATTTTTATTAATCTACTTATAATTAAGTTTTTCTTTGACTTCATATATGAGCACTGTATTTATATAATTTACACCCTCCCTCTTTCACCTCAATTCCTCCCATATCTACCCATTCCCTTTCAAATTCATAATCTTTAACTACAATTGTCACACATAAAAGAACCTATGGAATATTTTAGAGTTGTTTGTGTGTGTGTGTATGTGTGTGTGTACATGCTTGTTTAGAAATGAACATTTTAAATCTACAATTTCCCTCATCCTATGCATCTGGATAATAATCCACTCTCAAGGAAGGTCATTGCAGATCCTTCATAATACCTTAAAATTCATATAGTATGAATTATATGTACATAAAGTGTTCTCTTGTGTGGGAAAACAAATGGACTACAGCTACATGGAGAACATGACAGTATTTTGGAATACATTACTTAGAAGAGAGACAAGCCTGGTGGTGGTGGTGGTGGCAGTATGCTTTTAATCCCAACACCCAGGAAGCAGAGGCAGTCTTAGCTCTGTGAGTTCAATGCCAGTCTGGTCTACAAAACTACACAGAAAAATGAACACTGTCTTGAAAAGGAGAGAGAGAGCCCTTCCAAGACCCCAACTCCAGTGAGTACAGCTTCAGGTGAGATTGGGTCTCTGGCAGGACCCCCTGCCCAACACCCATCCCCTTGATCTTCCAGGGCCGCTCCTGGCATCCAGAAGACCCGCCCACACAGAAAAGACATCAGCCCTTTCAACCCCCAAACCGCAGCGAGTCCAGCTTCAGGTGAGATTGGGTCTTGGGTCTCCGGCGGGAACCCCCCCGTCCAACACCCATCCCCTTGATCTTCCGGGGTCCGCTCCTGGCATCCAGAAGACCCACCCACACAGGAAAGACATCAGCCCTTTCAAGCCCCAAACCCCAGCGAGTCCAGCTTCAGGTGAGATTGGGTCTCCTGCGGGAACCCCCGCCCAACAACCATCCCCTTGATCGTCCAAGGCCACTCCTGGCATCCAGAAGACCCGCCCACACAGGAAAGGCATCAGCCCTTCCAGGCCCCAAACTCCATGTCAGCATCCCCAGCTTCAGCTGCAGGAAGGAAGGAGACCAGTGGAGACAGAAAGACCCCACCAGCACCCACTGGAAGAAGAGATGGGAAGAAGACAGAATAAGAGCTCACTCAGCAATAGAAAGACCAACTTGACCCCACCAGAATCTAGGGATCAAACACCAGCAAGACCCGAAAAGCACTACATAGACAAAGAAGAGGAGACAGACCTTAAAAATTATTTCATGAAGATGATGGAGACCCTCAAAGAAGAAACGAGGAAATCCCTTAAAGAAATAGAAGAAAAAACAAACAAAAAAAATCCATGAAATGGGGGAAAAATTCAAGAAATAAACAAATCTCTCAAAGAATCTAAAGAATAGCAAGAAAAAACAACCAAAAAAAAATGAAGGAAACAACTCAAACAGTTGAAGGATTGAAAGCTGAAATAGAAACGATAAAAAAAAAACACAGAATGAAGGGATGCTGGAAATAGAAAAGCTGGGTAAATGATCAGGAACTACAGATGCAAGTATAACCAATAGAATACAAGAAATAGAAGAGAGAATCTCAGGTGTTGAAGACTCATTAGAGGATACAGAGGCGTCAACCAAAGAATATCTCAAAACCAACAAATCCTTAACACAAAATATCCAGGAAATATGGGACACGTGAAGAAGCCAAACCTGAGAATAATAGGTATAGAAGAAGGCGAAGAAATACTCAAAGGTACAGAAAACATATTCAAAAAAATCATAGAAGAAAACTTCCCTAATCTAAAGAAAGATATGCCTATGAAAATAAAAGAATCTTACAGAACACCAAATAGGCTGGACCAGAAAAAGAAGTCACCTCGCCATATAATAATCAAAACATCAAACCTACAGAGTAAAGAGAAAATATTAATAGCAGCTAAAGCAAAAGGCCAAGTAACATACAAAGGCAGACCTATCCGAATTACACCTGACTTCTCAATGGAAACAATGAAAGCCAGAAGATCCTGGACAGATGTCCTACAAACACTAAGGGAACAAGGATGCCAGCCCAGACATCCAGCAAAGCTTTCAATTACCATATATGGAGAAAACAAAATATTCCATGACAAAGCCAGATTTAAACAATAAGTATCCATGAATCCAGCTCTACAGAGAGTGCTAGAAGGAAAACCTATATCCAAGGAAGATAACTACATTCACAAAGACACAGGCAATATATAATCCCACTTTACAAAACACCAAAAGAAAAAGGGAGGAGAAAGTACACAAAGTAACTTCACTAACAATAAATGAGGCACAAACAAGAATCATCAATCAATGGTCATTAATATCCCTCAATGTCAACGGCCTCAACTTACCTATAAAAAGACACAGACTAGCAGAATGGATACGAAGACAGAACCCTTCCTTCTGTTGCATACAAGAAACACATCTCAACCTCAAAGACAGATGTTATCTCAGAATAAAGGGTTGGGAAAAACTCTTCCAATCAAACGGTCCCAAGAAACAAGTGGGTGTAACAATCCTAATATCTAACAAATTATACTTCAAATTAAAATCAATCAAAAGAGATGAAGAAGGACACTTCATATTCATCAATGGAAAAGTACATCAAGATGAAGTCTCAATTTTAAACATCTACGCCCCAAATACAAAGGCACATACTAAAGCTCAAAATGCACATAAAATCTCACACACTAATAGTAGGAGACTTCAACACTCAGCTCTCACCGCTAGACAGGACCTCCGGACAGAAACTTAACAAAGAAACAAAAGAACTAATAGAAGTTATGACCTAACTGGGTTTAACAGACATCTATAGAACATTCCACCCAAATACAAAGGGATATACTTTCTTCTCGGCACCACATGGAACCGTCTCTAAAATTGACCACATAATAGGAAAAATAGCAAATCTCCACAAATACAAAAGATTGGAATAACCCCCTGCATCTTATCAGACCACCATGCATTAACATTAGAATTCAACAATAACACAAATCGCAGAAACCCTACAAACTCATGGAGATTGAACAATGCACAATTGCACCATCCCTGGGTAAAGGAACAAATAAAAAAAGAAATTAAAGACTTCCTCGATTTCAATGAGAATGAAGACACAACATACATAAACTTATGGGACACTTTGAAAGCAGTGCTGAGAGGAAAGTTTATAGCACTAAGTGCCCACATGAAAAAACTGGAGAACAGTCATACTAGAGAATTAATAGCACAGCTGAATGTTCTAGAACAAAAAGAAGCAAACTCACCCAGGAGGAGCAGATGCCAGGAAATAATCAAATTGAGGGCTGAAATCAATCAAGTAGAAACCAGGAAAACACTGAGAAGAATCAATGAAACAAAGAGTTGGTTCTTTGAGAAATCAACAAAATAGACAAACCTCTGTCCAAACTAAACAAAAAACAGAGAGAGAGCATGCTAATTAACAAAATCAGGAATGAAAAAGGGGACATAACAACGGACTCTGAGGAAATCCAGAGAATCATCAGGGCATACTTTGAAAATCTGTACTTCACAAAATTTGAAAATTTAAAGGAAATGGACAATTTCCTGGATAGATATCACTTGCCAAAACTAAATCAAGAACAGATAAACAATCTAAACAGACCTATAACCCCTAATGAAATAGAAGCAGTCATCAAAAGTCTCCCAAACAAAAAAAGCCCAGGCCCAGATGGCTTCAGTGCAGAATTCTACCAGAAATTCAAAGAAGAGCTAATTCTAATACTCCTCAAAGTATTCCACACAATAGAAGTAGGAGGCTCACTGCCAAACTCTTTTTAGGAGGCTACAATTACCCTGATACCCAAGCCACACAAAGACACAACTAAGAAAGAGAACTATAGACCAATTTCCCTCATGAACATTGATGCAAAAATACTCAATAAAATACTCGCAAACCGGATTCAAGAACACATCAGAAAAATCATCCACCATGATCAAGTAGGCTTCATCCCAGGAATGCAGGGATGGTTCAACATTAGAAGATCTATCAATGTAATCCACCATATTAACAAACTGTGAAAGAAAAACGACATGATCATCTCACTAGATGCTGAAAAAGCCTTTGACAAACTCCAGCACCCCTTCATGATAAAGGTCTTAGAGAGGTCAGGGATAACAGGAACATACCTGAATATAATAAAACCAAAATACAGTAAACCAACAGCTAACATCAAACTAAATTGAGAGAAACTCAAAGCAATTCCTCTAAAATCAGGAACAAGACAAGGCTGTCCACTCTCTCCATATCGCTTCAATACTGTACTTGAAGTTCTAGCTACAGCGATAAGACAACAAAAGATGATAAAGGGGATACAAATAGGAAAAGAAGAAGTCAAACTTTCACTATTTGCAGATGGTATGATAGTTTACATAAGTGACCCAAAAAACTCCGCAAGGTTACTCCTAGAGCTGATAAACACCTTCAGCAATGTGGCAGGATACAAGGTAAACTCAAAAAAATCAGTGGCCCTATTATATACAAATGATGAAGTGACTGAGAAAGAAATCAGAGTAACATCACCCTTTACAATAGCCAAAAACAGCATCAAATATCTGGGGATAATGTTAACCTAGGAAGTGAAAGACCTCTATATCAAGAACTTTGTGTCTTTAAAGAAAGAAATCAAAGAAGATACCAGAAAATGGAAAGATCTCCCATGCTCTTGGATTGGTAGGATCAACATAATGAAAATGGCAATCTTGCCAAAAGCAGTCTACAGATTCAATGCAATCCCTATCAAAATTCCATCACAATTCTTCAAGGACCTGGAAAGAACATTAATCAAATTTATATGGAAAAACAAAAGGCCCAGGATAGCCAAAACAACCCTATACAATAAAGGAACTTCAGGAGGCATCACCATACCTGACTTCAAGCTCTATTATAGAGCTATAGTCCTGAGAACAGCTTGGTATTGGCACAGAAATAGGCAGGTAGCCCAATGGAACCGAATTGAAAGCTCTAATTTTAACCCACACACCTATGAATACTTGATTTTTGACAAAGAAGCTAAAACTGTACAATGGAAAAAAGAAAGCAATCAACAAATGGTGTTGGCATAACTGGGTACTGGTATGCAGAAGACTGCAAATAGATCCATGTTTATCGCCTTGTACAAAACTTAAGTCCAAATGGATCAAAGATCTCAACATAAATCCAGCCACACTGAAACTTTTAGAAGAGAAAGTGGGAGATACACTTCAATGAGTTGGTACAGGAGACCACTTCCTAAACATAACACCAGTGGCACAGACACTGAGATCGACAATTAACAAATGGGACCTCCTGAAACTAAAAAGCTTCTGTAAGGCAAAGGACACAGTCAACAAGACAAAAAGGCAGTCCACAGAATGGGAAAAGATATTCACTAACCCTACATCTGACAGAGGGCTAATCCCAAAATTTACAAAGAACTCAAGAAGCAAGTCTCCAAAACACCAAAGGATCCAATTAAAAGGTGGGGTACAGAGCTAAATAGAGAATTCTCAGTAGAGGAGGCTAAAATGGCCAAGAGACACTTAAGAAAGTGCTCAACATCCTTAGCCATCAGGGAAATGGAAATCAAAACAACTCTGAGATACCATCTTACTCCTGTCAGAATGGCTAAAATCAAAAACACCTAAGACAATTTATGCTGGAGAGGATGCGAAGAGAGGGGAACACTCCTCCACTGCTGGTGGGAGTGCCACCTCGTACAGCCTCTTTGGAAATCAGTATGGAGATTCCTCAGGAAAATGGGAATAAATCTACCACAAGACCCAGCAATTCCACTCTTAGGCATATATCCAAATGAGGCAAATTCATACAACAAGGGCATCTGCTCCACTATGTTCATAGCAGCATTGTTTGTAATAGGCAGAACCTGGAAGCAACCTAGATGTCCCTCAACTGAAGAGTGGATAGAGAAAATGTGGTACATTTACACAATGGAGTATTACTCAGCAGAAAAAACAATGGAATCTTAAAATTCGCAGGTAAATGGATAGCACTGGAAGAAACCATCCTGAGTGAGGTAACCCAGTCACAAAAAGACAAACATGGTATGTACTCACTCATATATGGATTTTAGACATGGATCAGGATAGTGCCAGTCTGCACTTCCACTGATAGAGAGTCTGAGAAACAGGAAAGAACCTAAAAAATATGTATATATGCATAGTACCCAAGAGAAGAGCATTGAGACAAGATCCTCTGAAAGGATGGGGAACACAGCAAGGGGTGTGGGGGAGTGGGAGCTGGGAAGAAGAAAGGGGGAGAAGAGGAAGAGAGAGTAGATCATGGGAGAACAGGAAGTTGAGTGGGTGGGGGTAGAATAGGGGGAAGAGGGAATCATAGGTTAGAAGACAGAACAGGCACCAGAGTGACCTCGAGTGATCTAAAGGGATAACACCAATTGGCAAGCTAAGCAATAGTGGAGAGACCACCTCGAATGCCCATTCCTGATAATGAACTTGATGTCTATAACCATCCGGGAGCCTTCATCCAGTGATTAATGGAAGCAGAGGCAAACACACAAGTAAGCACTGAACTGAACCCAAGGAACCCAGTGACAGAGAGAGGAGTGATGAGCAAATTGGCAAAGAATGGGCTGGCAAAACCAGCAGAGACAGCTGATCTGAACAGGGGAGAGCTCTTGGACCCCAGACTGACAGCGGGGAGGCCAGCATGGGACTGATCTGGACCCCCCAAATGTGAGTGTCAGCGAGAAGGCCTGGGAAACCTATGGGGCCCTGAGCTGTGGATCAGTGTCTATCCCTGGAATACAAACAGTCATTGTGTGCCCATAGCACAAAGAGGGATGATCTCTCAGCCTGGACTCTTACGGGAGTGCCTGGACCCTACCCAGAGTGAAATGACAGATTCTAGATATCCCCTATGTGGAAGGATTTGGCAATAGGGTGTGAGGTTGGGGGGGAAGCGGAGTGCGGGAGGAGGGGAGGGAGAGGGAACTTGGATTGACATGTAAAACAAGTTATTTAAAATTAAAATAAAAATGATAATAGAGAAAAAAAGAAAAGGAGAGAGAGATACAGAGAGAGAGAGAGAGAGAGAGAGAGAGAGAGAGAGAGAGAGAGAGAGAGAGAGGATTCTCAGTAACTCTCTTTCGTATCAAGAGCTACCAGTGTTCCTCAGGTGTGTGAGAACTCCACATGGTCTCAGATTGATTCCCATTCAGATGAAGTCATGCGGCTGTCTTCCTTTCCTCATCATTGGATGTCTGTGTCTTTTACCCTGCTCCCTTGGCTGATGACATGTATATCCTAATGGAAGCTTTCATAAGAAATTTTCTTTTCAATTTCTCCTAATGGCTTCTCTGCACTTGCCAAACAATTTGTACTTTTTGCACTGACAGTGAATTGGGACAAAAGTGTTTAAAATTTATTCCTAATCCTTTAGGTAAATGTTCTCATGGATTTAGAGTTGAATTTAAGAACACCAGTGTAGTGGGAAATGGGACCAGAAAATACTATACCAGTAAGTTAAGGCTTTGTGGGACCTCTTCCACCTCATAGTCCATATCTACCATTGGGGTATCACAGAGCATGTGTAAGAACCTTTGTTTTGTTTTCTCAGTCCCTGTCTTTTCGTCCATCTCTCCATCTTTCCCATACTCTCTTTCTTCATCTACCCTTCTTTCTTTTTCTTACTCTGTCCCTCTCTCACCACTTTCTCTCTTTTTCTTCCTTCATTTCCTGCTTCTTTACCTCTCTTCCTTACCTCTCTCTTTCTCCCTCTTCTATGCCTCCATTCCTTCCTTGGTCTTTTTCTCCATTCCTTCTTTTCTCCCATGTATTTCTTCATTCTTTCCTTCACTTCCCTCTCTACCTGTCTTCTTTCTCTCATTTTTCCTTTCCTCTCTCTATCCACGTATCTTTCTATTCCTCCTTCCTCTTTCCTTCCTCTTCCTCCCTTCCCCTCCATTTTCTTCTTTCATTCTTATTTTTTGTACTTTTCTTAAATTTGCATTATATCACCCCAAATTTCTTCATCCCACCTTCTTTCCTTCACTTTCTCTATCCTTACATTCTTATGTCTCTCCCTATTTCCTTTCTTTCATTTGTTTCTTTGTTCCTTCATTTGTTTGGGTTTTTTGTTGTTGTTGTTCCTTCCTTCTTTGCTTCCTTCCTCAACCTGAGAAACTTTTCCTTTCATATCAAGGCAATTATAACTGTTTTTAAAATGTAGATGGTGTAGGAGTAAAGGCCTAACTAACTTTCTAAAAGTGCTATCCTGAGGTTTATTTTCTTAAATTGGAAGCTATTTTTTTCAAATGTAGGATGAACTGTTTCCATATCACCACACCTTTGTAAGCCCAATCTTTTCTAGACAGTGATAGGAATCTTCTGGAAAAGATCTTTTCTTTTTCAAGACAGGGTTTCTCTGCATAACAGTCCTAGCTGTACTGGAACTAGCTTTGTATACCAGGTTGGCCTTGAAGTCACTGAGATCTGCCTGCCTCTGTCTCCCAAGTGCTGGCATTAAAGGCATATGCTACCACCACCTGGAAGAAAACAACAAGGCAAGATTCTCTCCTGAAAATTCTCTCCTTTGTTTTCTGTCTTTGCTAGTGTTTCTATTGCTATGAAGAGACACCAGGACCACAACAACTCTTACAGAGGAAAACATTTAATTGTGGTGGCTTATAGTATCATAGGTTTAGTGCATTATCAGCAAGACATGTGACATGCTTGCATGCATACATTGTGCTGTATAAAGAGTTGAGATTTCTACTTCTTGATTTATGAGCTAAAGGAAGTGGACTGAGTGTCACACTGTACATAACTTGTGCATAACTTGGGTGCAATTCTTTCTTTGCTTTTATGTTTTTGTCAGGGATGGATGTGATTGTTCAAGTCTTCCTATGCTAACTCATACAAGGTATTTGGTGCTTAAACAGGTTTGTCAGACACCAAGTTGAGTTGCAGAGGAATGGTTGTATGGCCCCTGCAATGTCTCCTAATATGTGAAACTGGGGGTGATCTGTGTTAGAGTGCAATATAAAGGTGGTAAATCCCAGCATGGCTACTCCTACTCATGTGGTGTGGCATGGTGTGACTACTTGTTGTATTGGTGGTTTCATGTTCCCTTTGATAGTAGATAAGACAATCCAACTGAGGGTGAAACACCCTTTGTGAGGCCCTGGGATGTCTCTTTACTTTTCTTTACTTTGATTGAGGAAGTAAGCCTTCTTGCTGAATGGACCTACCATGTGAGTCCTTAAACTCACATGGATATCCCTTAAACTATTAATGACCTTGAGATGATATGGTCATTCAAATATTTGTATTGGATAGGATCATAAGCAGGCCATGGCAGCAACTGCATGGTCTTTGTTTTAGGTAATTAGATATACAATTGAGGATAAGTTGGCTACCAAGAAAGAAATCACTTCTGTAAGGCAGGAATTACAATAGGAAATTGCAATACACTAGAAATTTACAATTGCAATAGGAAAGAGGCATCCTCTATTCTTCCACATTAGCCTCTGCCTTGTCAGGGAAAAGATAAAAGGTAGCATAAGATAGAAGCATTGGTCTGTAATTTATTATAGTTGGTGGGATGCCAAAAATAAAGAACACAAATTGGATTTGTGCTAAAGAGCTGTTCTCAAAATACTAAATCTTGGGACCCATGGAAAGTGTCAGACAGTGAGGAGAATGAGAACATGGTGAAAGTGATAAAAGATAGCCCCTCAGTCTAATCATGAATTTAGAGCAGGGAAAATTTCATGAGTCAGCATACGGCTGGGGCCTTAACAATGACCCAATTCAGTCACTGATTTCATTAAACTTTGAAAATCAGGGGATGGTCTGTGTCTAAACTGTTTGGATTGGGATGACTTTTAGACAAGAAAGTCTCTCATAGAATGGTTTCTGAGGCTGTGGGAAAAGGAAGGACTAGTCTGAATGATGTGAAGATAAACAAAGAACCTTGAGTGATATAATTACCAATTTCTCCTTAAGACAAAGGATGTGTAGCATGAGGCAATATGAAGGAAATCAGTCCACAGTGGAAGGACTTCTATAAGCCATTAGGTGATGGCAGATGTCCTTCTGTATATATGTTTCTCTTATTGTTTGGTGAATACAACACTGTTGGCCAATAAGGCAGGAAGAGAGGCTGGGCTAGGAGACAAGGAGAATTCTGGGAAAGGTAGGCAGAGGGTGTCCTCCAGGACAGTGGCTGTGTAGACTACAAATGTGTAGCAAGTCCAGGCATTCTCTGGTAAGCTAAGACCACATGGAAATACACAGATTAATAGATATGGGTTAATAATTTAGAGTTAGCCAATTAGAAGCCCAAGCCATCAGTCAACAATGTCATAGTTAGCATAGCATTTGTGTGCTTAATTGGGGCTGAGAGGCCAGAGGGATCTGGCAGGACAAGAAAATAGCCACAAGAATTAGGACCACTTGGTTATCTCTTAATGAGGTTCCTATGGATCTGAGGGACTGGAAAAATTATAGAGAAAGGATAGGTGTTACTCATGGAACTAGACAGGGGAGAGATAGGTTTGCTAGCCAGTTCAGTTGGTCAGACAGGAGTATAGTCACAGCAGGTTTAGAAAGATGTTGATTCAGCAGATACTATAGGACTTGGTTGGAGCTTTAGTGGCAGACCCCAAGGTGAGTTTCAGAGGAATGGTTGTATATAGTCATCTTTACAGTCACCTATA